CGTAACAATTACCTAAAGAGTCATTAGGATCCAATGTGTGTGGGGAAGGGCAAAAATGGATGTGGATGCAAGTCTGAGGGTTTTGAGAATTGACTTGACAGGCCTATCAATGGCTTCACCAGTTTCTAGTCACTAAGGAGTGGGTTACTCTGCCTACCTGGTGTTTTTGCCATGCCTTGAATTTACAGCCAATAGTTAATTTGCACTTTGTATCAGTATTCCCCTCGGTGTAAGTTACATTTCTAGTATAGTAGTACAAGTAATAGATATTTTTTTAGTTTTGCTTTATGTTGCTGAGTGACATATGGAGGGAAGTGGACACTGCCATCTTATAGAGCATAAGATCTAGAGTAATGTACACTAGTACAACTGTTCCAGCTATATATTTACCATGAATTAGTGAAAATATCTGCTGCATAGCATAACTCGGAGATCATAACACCCATACACAGGCAGAGTTAAGGTTGCATTACCCGTTGGTAACAGGTTAATTAGTTTTAAGGAAATTAGAGGTGATTGTCTAGGAATATATGTTTTACAATAGGATTTCTGTAAAGTAATATTTTTATTGAATTTTGTACTGTCATCGACCCTGTCACTTGATCATAATGCCTAATGATGATAGTATCCCCCCCCCCCTCCCATGAATTCAGTTTTGATTTGAAAGGAAAGAATGGAATTACTCTGGGTACGAGTTCTACGTAAACTGTCAGCCATGCATAATGACTGGCAAAATTGTAAGCTCGGAAATAAATCTTGAGGTAATTGGTTATGCTTTCTTTATAAAGCGTATTCTTATGCTACTCAAGAACAAAAAATGTCTGAGATGATGATTAGAGATGCCTAGAGATGTGCATATGTAATATGTTCATACAAGGTTTTGAGTTATGTCACCAAGGAATCAAATACAAGGCCCATCTTACCTAATTACCTCATTCCTTGAATATTTAGAATTGTCTGATTATTATTTATAGAATTATAATAGCACATTGAGACACTGCTCTCAGCCAAATATTTCATGATGGCATATTCTCATACCCATCATCCAATATTTATTTGATGGTCACATTATATAGGTCTAATGGGTTGAGTATTTCATTAGTATATAATCCAAATGAAATTGTAAGACTGTGGCTCACACTTTGTAAGTTATTTTCACTATCCCTTTTCCTTCTCCTTCTCCTCCTTCTCCTCCACTCCTCCACTCCATGTAGTTTGTCATGGGTGAGGTGTTGTCATGCATGCTTTACATTATATACTATTCTTTTTAAGGTTCTTTTGGGCAGAAGGGCATGAAGAATGGGACAGGTTATGATCTTTTTTGCCTGTTTGTATAAAAGGGCCATTATTGTTTGCCAGAGCGTAGTTTTTTTTTTCCGTTTTCTTCACCCATCACCATTGGGTTAAACGGTAAAATACATTGATTTATTGAAATGGTCTTGTGTACATAATCAGGCAGCATCTCTGAATATGAGAAGATCTCCTAAATTATGGTTTGGTTACAAACGATATGAAAAGAAATCATGGCGTTGTTAACCCAATGCTGCCAGGAAAAATGTTTTTGTGTGTGTGAATCTCTCTCCACATAGATGGCTCTGCTAGTGCTTAGCCACAGAGGAGTCAATTAGCATAACTGGTGACCTTACCTGATTTCACCTTTCCTTGAATTAGTAGGGGGAAAAATGTATTTTTTACTAATGCCATGATAGTAATTATAGTTTATATAATAATAGTGTAATAAACCTAAGTAACAGCAAAGTAAGAGAACTTGAAATACTTTTTTATATCTAGGAAAAGGGTTAATGGGAAAGACAGGCAGTGCTTGTAATTGGCTCATTGATGACTGCCTAAATACAATAAAGTAAACTCGCTGATCATGGCATGTACGTACATGCCATGCCCATCTGCATTGTGTTAATGTGGCGCATCATGCAATGCACTAGCCGAGTTTGACATAGGTCCTGAAGGCCAGCCCAGTCAGCCACATGTACTCCTTGGAGCAGAAGCCCAGTTCATCCCAAATTTCATGGAGGTTTTGGGTTAATCCCAAAGGACTTGAATATTAGGCCTACTTGATCCCTTGTTTATTATCATTGATTATAGAGAATTTTAATTTTATTGGTTATTTTTATGGTTAGGTTGTGGAGATTTAAAAAAGAAATTGCTAACTGTCCATAGTAATTTATTTGGTATTTGAAGGTAACTATAATTAGATTTGAAGAAGCGACTCTCGCAATGAGGGTAGACTCTATGGTGGTGTTCATGTTGTTGATATCTTGGAAACAAGTATTCCAAATAGTACCAATTTTTCTATTATACTTGCTATATTCCATTCACAAATTATTTAATTTTATTGATGGAGCTATATTGGCAGTTTGGACATAAGAATACAATGTCCTAGACATGTAGGTTTCGGTGTTTGAAATGTTACATATCTGAGGATTCTGCTAATTTTTAGGTGATGGTATTCCTCAATGCAAGGAGCGAGGCAGCCTACCTAATGAAGAAGAACCCACGTGAAGTACGATGGACTGTGTTGTACAGGTAAGTGATTTTTTACTGATCTTTTTTTTTTTTTTTTTTTTTTTTTTTTTTTTTTCCATTCATTCCCATATATTTGCTTGCACTTTTACACATTTTTGGGCACAAGATTTTGTTTGATCAGTCTTCATCCTTCAGACTTTCTCTTTCAATTGAGCAAATGATTTTATTAGTCCATAAATTTATAATTTCTATAACCTTTCATTAAAACTGGCTGCCCTTATTATAGAGAACTACTTAGCACATAATGAAATCCATGTCTGGATGTTTGGAAGGTCAAATGAACATGAGGTAATCCTGTATTACAGGCGATTGCACAAGAAGGGTGTCGAAGAAGAAGTAACAAAGAGACGTACCCGCCGCACCCAAAAGTTCCAGCGTGCCATTGTTGGTGCCTCACTCACCGATATCATGGCTAAGAGGTAAGTAGTGTCTTATTGTTTGTATTTTTAAGTAGAATAAAGTGCATGGTTACGGAGTAAGATACATAGAATATTTATCACTAATTGCATTTTACTGTTTTACAGAAACATGAAGCCTGAGGTTCGCAAGGCTCAGAGAGAGCAGGCTATCAGGTTAGTATTTGCATGAACACTTTTTCTCTGATATAATGTCCACATGCTAAAGATCGTATTTGAGAACAATGCATAAATGCCTATTTCAGAGCTGCCAAGGAGAAGGCAAAGGCTGCCAAAGCTGCCAAGGCAGCTGCTAAGAAGCCCCCAGCGCCCCAAGGCGGAAAGGTGAGTGACATACCAAGATGAAAATTCGGAATATACTATCATTTTTATAACCTTCAGTTAGGGGAAGAATACTAGATTTTTACATGGTGCAAATACCAAGAAATTGCAAAAAATAAAAAAGATAATAATAATAATAATAAAGAAAATAATTTTTTCCCCTTTTTATATTGCAGCAAGGAAAAACTGGACAAAAGGTTCCCAAGGTCCAGAAGGGTGGTCGCCCTGCACAGGGTGGACGTGGCCAACGTCGCTAACCGTGAAAGCTATTAATAAAAAAAAAAAAAAATCAGATGTATCTTGCTATCCTTAAATTCAAACATTTAGTTGAATAGCCTCCTCCTGCTCCTGCATATAAGGCAACAAGGCAACAAGTTTGGAATAGTAAGGCTTGCTGTAACCAAAAGGTTATTTAGGTACACTCCAATTTCAATTATTGTGCAAAAACTAAAGATTATAAAAGCAATATATTGTATAATTGTTTACTGGGGGGGGGGGGGGGACATTGAGTTTGAGGTGGTGGGCTTCATTCACGTATAACATGGAATTGAAATGCACAGCCTTTACTGGTGAGTATTTTATTTATTTATTTGTACATTAATTCAAAAATTTCAGATCCAGAGAAGTGAAATGTCTTAATATGTATACATATTTATTAAGAATAAGATCCAGGTAAGTTAAATATATCTAATAAATCTCTCCCTCCCACTCTCCCCCCTCCCCCACCCCACCATGATCCAAAGCAAACTCGCCAACCTATGTTAATTATGTGTAGGTTTCAACTCCTTTGGTTTATTCAGCAAATTCTAAAAACTTGATGTAACTAGCTTCTCTCCTGCAGTTCTTCAATTGTTAAGATATGCATCATGCTCAGACTATAGTATTTCTACTTACAACAAATCTGCTTGTGGCAAACCAGTGATAGGCATCTGTAAATCTGTTAACCAATACGGAATAAGTATATCTGACACCAGTAAATATAAAAAGATCTAGATCAAAGACAACTGAAAATATTAAGAAATAAACTATCGATACTGCATAGGCCTTAGTGACCCAACAGTAAGGGGGAAGGTGATAGGTTGAGAAACTTGCTACAAAATTATCCCTACACTGAGATGATGCAGCTATAATCATCTGATTCCTTAAGATAAGCTTGAAATAGCCTATGTAATTAATATAAATAGCTTTAGTAGTACAGGTGTCATAATTGTTTTGGGTTATTTTATTCAGTTTTGATTCCATGAATATATTTATTTATTTCAAAACACTTGATAGTGTGCACTGTGTATGTTAACTTTAGTTTTACACAGCTTTCACAAGATTGAAATATTAAGTCTTAAATTTACCAAAAGTTGTACCTATTCAACAGTAAGTATCAATATCTCTCCCTCTCTCCCTCTCTCCCTCTTTCTCTCTTTCTCTCCCTCCCTCTCTCTCCCTCTCCCTAATGCACCGAATTCCTGGGGTCAAAGTTGCCAGAGCAGTCCCCCCCCCCCCCCCCCTCAGAAATATCCTCTGGCATTACAAGGAGAAATGAGGAGAATGAATTACCGGTAGTAAAATATGAAAAAAATGTGTGTGGCATATTATCCTGAATGTACATTAGAAACCCTAAAGATCAATAAGGTTATGAATTAATGCATTTGTTTAATTTTCCAGATATAAAGAAAGTTTCAATGTCACTGAAGGTAAGTGTTTTTGCATATTCTGTTTCGTATGAAATTTAATGATGAGAATGAATTACCGGTTGAAATGCATGAAAATAAACCAGCGGCAAACTTTATATCTGAATGTTTGATTGAGCAAAGTGTTTTTTCTAGGTCTGAAAGCAATTAACATGCTCTCCTGGTCTTTCAGATTCGTTATATGAAGATAGAGATGCAAGTTTATTGTGGCTTCCACAGTGCAGTGGTAATCCTCGCACCCTATGCAAAAGTTCGGCATAAAACCAGATCATAGCAGTAAGTATTCCATTTATTTCTAAACCTTCTTTCCCCTTCCAATGACAGTTAGAAAATCCAATAGCAGGAGCAGAAATGTAGTAGAAAATGAAAACGACAATGTAGCTTAGATGAAAGATGGCAGTATATCAGCATAAACTAATTTGTATAATTTAAATTTCCTGAAATGTCCGAGCATTTCAAATAGCTAAGAGTGTTAATGACCTTTTGATGCTGCCTCTGCAGGAAGGGGGAATTCATTGGTTCTCTATTTTGAGTAGCATGATGATTTTGTATATTCTGTCAATCCAATGAGTGAAATTGATTACAAATTACTTTCTGAAAAGGGTTATGGATATCTGTTACCATTTGTAAATCCAATTAGCTAAAAGATTCTTTTCTTTACAGGATCTGAAATGGGTAGCATGGTTAACCCAATGGTGACGGGTGAAGAAGAAGAAGAAGAAAAACAAAAAAACTACGCTCTGGTAAAAAATGGCTGCGCTGGCTTTGAGTGAACGAGTTTGGTACATTAGCCCAAATCACTGGCTCGCCACGCTTTGGCACACCGCAGCAGCGTACAGCCGCACGCCAGCTTTTGAGCGGTTTGTTTTCACGCCTATCGGCGTCACCCATCAGGAAGAGGTTAATGGGTAAGTCTGATTTTTTTTTCCATTTGGTGAAATAGATGTTTAGGGAAGCCAATAACAGAAACAGTTCATTTATTATAGAGGGGCCTATTTATATATAGAAGACGCACAATTTCTACTTCTAGAAGTAGTCCCTACACAAATGATGAGAATGAATTACCGGTTGAAAACCATGAAAAAATATATGCGGCATTATTATCTTCTGAGTGTACATTAGAAACCCTAGAGATTAATTTGGCTGTGAAGTATTGATAAATTTCTTCAATTTTTCAGATCTCATGCTGTAAACTTTGTCTTGAAAGAATTTTTCATTGTCATTTAAGGTAAGTGTTTCTGCTTACTCCATTTTGTATGAAATAGAATGATGAGAATGAATTACCGGTTGAAATGCATGAAAATAAACCAGCGGCAAACTTTATATCTGAATGTTTAATTGAGCAAAGCATTTTCTAGGTCTGAAAACAATTAACATGCTCACCTGATCTTTCAGATATGGAAGATAAAAAATGCAAGTTTGTGGGTCCACCTGTAAGCCTTGCACCTGTGAGAAACCAGATCATAGCAGTAAGTTTTCCTTTTCTTTCTAAACACACTTTCCCTCTTCCAATAACAGTTTGAAATCCAATAGCAGCAGCAGAAATGTTGTAGGAAATGAGAAGACAGCAATATTTCGGCATATACTAATTTGTATAATTTAAATTGTCTGAAATGACAGTGCATTTCAAATAGCTAAGAGTGTTAATGACCTTTTAATGATGCCTCTGCAGGAAGTTGGAATTCAGTGGTTCTCTATTTTGAGTTGCATGATGATTTTGTATATTCTGTCAATCCAATGAGTGACATTGATTATAAATTACTATCTGAGAAAGATTACTTATATCTTTTATCACTTGTAAATCCAATTAGCTCATGGTTTTTGTTTTTTTGTATTTTTTACAGGCTCTAAAATGGGCAGTCCTTTCAAGTGGTAAGTCTTTTTTTCTATTTAGTGAAATAGATGTTGAGGCAGTCTAGTGACAGAACCATTAACATTTATCACTTTTTTTATATATATTAATTTAAAAATTTCTTAAATGTGGCCACAAATTGCAATGATGAGAATGAATTACCGGTTGAAAAACATGAAAAAATATATGCGGCATTATTATCTTCTGAGTGTACATTAGAAACCCTAGAGATTAATTTGGCTGTGAAGTATTAAGAAATTTGTACAATTTTTCAGATCTTGTGCTGAAATCTCACTAAAGAAATCCAGTTTCATTGTCATTAAAGGTAAGTGTTTTTGCATATTCCATTTTTGTATGAAATCGAATGATGAGAATGAATTACCGGTTGAAATGCATGAAAATAAACCAGCGGCAAACTTTATATCTGAACATTTGATTGAGCTATGTATTTTATAGGTGTGAAAACAATTAAGATTCTCTTCTAATGTTTCAGATATTTTACAGTAAAAGGAAGGGCATACGCTTTTGGTCAAAGCCCAAGTCTTTAGAGGAAGAGTTGGTGACATGAAACCAAATCATAGCAGTAAGTTTAGTCTTTTTATTTCTTTCCCTCTTCCTCCTTCCAATGGCAGTTATAAGATCCAATAGTAGCAGCTGAAATGTAGTAGAGAAAATAATTCAAGTGACCTGAATTGTCAGAAAATTTCAAATAATTGAGAGGGTTAAGAGGACAGTCCCTGGCAAGGGGAGGGGAGGTGATTTTGAGTTAGCTATCCTATGTTATATGTACACAAATGAGGAAACTACCAAATAACTGTTAGAGCCCTAACTGGTTAATTTCAGGTTAACTATGTACATGGGTAATTAGCACCAGGTACACCTGTATGGACTTATGCTTATTGCAATCTTGCATACAGCATTTAATAATGACACTGCATAGATGAGAGTACATCAATGTCCAAAGAACACATTTATACCAATATCAGAAAGATTTGAAATTACAGTACATGAAAATAAATGCTAATATTGTTCTTCAAAAATGATGTTTGTACATTTATATAGGAAATATTCTTTCCATCAACACTCCCCGGTAGTATGCTGTAGCTTTTGTAGGAGTCTGTGTAACAAGTACAAAGCAGTAATGTTAATATCTCGGTGACTTTATTACAAATCTCTTGGCATCACAGTTTCTGGTAACTTCTGGCAACTGTCCAGCCACTAGGAAGTCCTTTACATGTAGTAGAAACTTGCCACTTAACGTGCTCTGGCGCGCCGCCGGCTGGTTTGGCCGCACGCCACCTTTCGAGCGATTTGTTTACACGCGTATCGCCGTCACCCGGAAAAAAAAAAAAAAAAAAAAAAAAAAAAAAAAAAAAAAAAAAAAAAAAAAAAAAAAAAAAAAAAAAAAAAAAAAAAAAAAAAAAAAAAAAAAAAAAAAAAAAAAAAAAAAAAAAAAAAAAAAAAAAAAAAAAAAAAAAAAAAAAAAAAAAAAAAAAAAAAAAAAAAAAAAAAAAAAAAAAAAAAAAAAAAAAAAAAAAAAAAAAAAAAAAAAAAAAAAAAAAAAAAAAAAAAAAAAAAAAAAAAAAAAAAAAAAAAAAAAAAAAAAAAAAAAAAAAAAAAAAAAAAAAAAAAAAAAAAAAAAAAAAAAAAAAAAAAAAAAAAAAAAAAAAAAAAAAAAAAAAAAAAAAAAAAAAAAAAAAAAAAAAAAAAAAAAAAAAAAAAAAAAAAAAAAAAAAAAAAAAAAAAAAAAAAAAAAAAAAAAAAAAAAAAAAAAAAAAAAAAAAAAAAAAAAAAAAAAAAAAAAAAAAAAAAAAAAAAAAAAAAAAAAAAAAAAAAAAAAAGGGGTTAAAGGTAAGTGTTTTTGCATATTCCATTTTTGTATGAAATCAAATGATGAGAATGAATTACCGGTTGAAATGCATGAAAATAAACCAGCGGCAAACTTTATATCTGAACATTTGATTGAGCAATGTATTTTATAGGTGTGAAAACAATTAAGATTCTCTTCTAATGTTTCAGATATTTTACAGTAAAAGGAAGGGCATACGCTTTTGGTCAAAGCCCAAGTCTTTAGAGGAAGAGTTGGTGACATGAAACCAAATCATAGCAGTAAGTTTAGTCTTTTTATTTCTTTCCCTCTTCCTCCTTCCAATGGCAGTTATAAGATCCAATAGTAGCAGCTGAAATGTAGTAGAGAAAATAATTCAAGTGACCTGAATTGTCAGAAAATTTCAAATAATTGAGAGGGTTAAGAGGACAGTCCCTGGCAAGGGGAGGGGAGGTGATTTTGAGTTAGCTATCCTATGTTATATGTACACAAATGAGGAAACTACCAAATAACTGTTAGAGCCCTAACTGGTTAATTTCAGGTTAACTATGTACATGGGTAATTAGCACCAGGTACACCTGTATGGACTTATGCTTATTGTAATCTTGCATACAGCATTTAATAATGACACTGCATAGATGAGAGTACATCAATGTCCAAAGAACACATTTATACCAATATCAGAAAGATTTGAAATTACAGTACATGAAAATAAATGCTAATATTGTTCTTCAAAAATGTTGTTTGTACATTTATATAGGAAATATTCTTTCCATCAAGACTCCCCGGTAGTATGCTGTAGCTTTTGTAGGAGTCTGTGTAACAAGTACAAAGCAGTAATGTTAATATCTCGGTGACTTTATTACAAATCTCTCGGCATCACAGTTTCTGGTAACTTCTGGCAACTGTCCAGCCACTAGGAAGTCCTTTACATGTAGTAGAAACTTGCCACTTAACGTGCTCTAGCGCATCGCCACATAGATCAAGGGGTTTATGACAGCTGGATTTGAAATTGGTCATTTCTGTTGTTAAGCCACCTCATGGGCGGTATTTTGAGCTTCATGAAAAAAAAAAAAATGAAATGTTGTTGATTTATAAAATCAACAACATTTCATTTTTTTGTGGTACCCAATGATACCCGCTCAAATGAAAACTATTTGGAAATTTTAAATCCGTCTTGTGCATTAACTCACGTTGATAAGCCACTGCACCTTTCATAAATTTCTGGTAAAAATGCAACCTGTGGATGGTACAGTAGGCCATAGGTTCCATAAATATGTAATACCGACCCTATTCAGGCCTCAGTTTTTGTCCATTAGTTTGTAAAGATAATACGCTCAAATGATTTAACGTCATTATATTGGTTTACCATGCCCAATGGACATTTTTTAAAAATAAATATCAGTAAGAAGAAAATTTTGTGGGGGGTCTAATTTTTTTTAATTACATAGAATTGGGTTTCGTCCTCTTAAATAAGGAAGATTAAATTATTAATCTTGTCAACCATCTCATCTTCTAACCATTCAGTGACTAGAGTATAAAGTTTAGATTATACTTGTATAACAATTTTGTGCTGCTATTGCCATCTATAGTTCTCCATTTTTTCACAATTTGATAAAAAAAAAGTTTCCTGGTTTAGATCACTTGTCTTTGATTTAACCCAATGCTGCCAGTGAAAATGAACAAAAAATGGGGAAAATGCTGTGCTCATTTTCTATATTTTTTGGTAAATGTGTTTGCACATAGATGGCTCTGCTAGTGCTTAGCCACAAAGGAGTCAATTAGTAGAACTTGTGACCTTGTGTGGTTTGAATTGGCGGGAAAAACATATTTTTTCCTTGTGCTATGAATATTGATGGGCTTATTTTTATTATAAACATAATTATTATATAGTTTTAAATATTAGTAGCAGCAAAATATTTTTGTAAATCAAAGAAAAGGGGTAAATAGGCAAGACAGGCAGTGCTCGTAACTTGCTCATTGGTGACTTGGTACAAGTATAGCCATATGTGTGTAAAAACAATCAAACCAGTAACTCAGTGGGCATAGCACATACATACACGTCATGAGTGTCAGCATTGGGTTAATGCATTTATTAAATGTTTCAGATAGGGATCTGTCAAAAAAAAAGTTAGAAAATATATATATATATATATAATTTTTTTTTTTTTTTTTTTTTTTTTTTTTTTTTTTTTTTGTAAACAATAACTCTGATTAACTTGGTAATAATCTTCTCTCAAAGTACACTAAAGTTGTGTGTGAGATTTTTATATATATAGATATAGATATATAGATATATAATGAGATTTAGTAAAGAAATAATAGAAATAAGTATCTTTTTGAGTGTCCAAATTTCAACAGCATGTTTTCAGTACTATGTTTACATAAACTGCCAGACTGTCCAGCAGTTGTAATTGTGTACTTGCATAGCAAATTCTTTTGCTAGTGGTTTGGAGTACAGTCAACCTCTCATGGTTTTTAAATTTTGGTGGGGAGGAAGAGGGACAGTAAACTATAGATGACATTATTGACCCAAATATAGTTCACAATGGCAGAAAGAAAAAGAAAAAAATGAAATTTAAATATTGAGAGGACTTGGCCTTACCATAGTTGAGCAAACTGGAGAATATTGTTAAGGTAATTCAGTGGAAAAACTTCAACCTGTGGCCTGGCAGAACCACAGGTTTACACATGCTTCCCTATGAGGAGACCCATTTAAAATTAATAGACACAAAGCACAATTATATACTTACTCTATGACCTGAAAAGAAGAGAAAAAATTCAAACCTTGTCTTTATATAATGAAATAAGTAGAGCAAAGTATGCTTCACTCTGCACACCTTTAACCCACTGGGGCCGCGTATCAGAAATCTGTCAGCGTCATAAACTCTGGCGATTTCTGGCAACATCCAGACACTGGACATGGGAGTCCACTACATGTAGCATAACTTCCCACTTAACACATTCTGGTGCATCACTGCATGTACAGCCGTATACCACAGACCAAGCGGTTTTTATGTACATGTGACCTGTTGGGATGGGGGTTAAACATCTTTTGATGCTGCCTCTGTAGGAAGGGGGGGAATTCATTGTGCTCCATTTTCAAGTTAAATTATGATTTTTTATATTCTGTCAATCCAATGAGTGAAATTGATTACAAATTACTTTCTGAAAAGGGTTATGGATATCTGTTATCATTTGTAAATCCAATTAGCTAATAAAAAATTCTTTTCTTTGCAGGATCTGAAATGGGTAGCATTTTTAACCTCTTCCCAATGGGTCACGCCTATAGGTGTGAAAACAAACCTCTCGAAATGTGGTGTGGAGCTGTACAGCCAGTGATTTGGTTTGATGTACCAATCTCTCGCGCTCAAAGTCAGTGCGCTGCCATTGATCACCAGAGTGTAAACTTTTTAAAGATTTTCTTAACCTGTCACCATGGGGTTAATTGGTAAGTCTGAATTTTTTCTATTTGGTGAAATAGATGTTTAGGCAAGCCAACAACAGAAACAGTTCATTTATTATAGAGGGGCCTATTTATATATAGAAGACGCACAATTTCTACTTCTAGAAGTAGTCCTTACACAAATGATGAGAATGAATTACCGGTTGAAAACCATGAAAAAATATATGCGGCATTATTATCTTCTGAGTGTACATTAGAAACCCTAGAGATTAATTTGGCTGTGAAGTATTGATAAATTTCTTCAATTTTTCAGATCTCATGCTGTAAACTTTGTCTGGAAAGAATTTTTCATTGTCATTTAAGGTAAGTGTTTCTGCTTACTCCATTTTGTATGAAATAGAATGATGAGAATGAATTACCGGTTGAAATGCATGAAAATAAACCAGCGGCAAACTTTATATCTGAATGTTTAATTGAGCAAAGCATTTTATAGGTCTGAAAACAATTAACATGCTCACCTGATCTTTCAGATATGGAAGATAAAAAATGCAAGTTTATTGTGGGTCCACCTGTAAGCCTTGCACCTGTGTGAGAGTTTGCATCCTGCCCAAAGGTTCCAAGGGTAAAAGGAAAGGCATCCACTTTTATGCAACTCTCCTGTCAAACCTAAGTCATTGAGGGAGAGTTCTTGACATGAAACCAGATCACAGCAGTAAGTTTTCCTTTTCTTTCTAAACCCTCTTTCCCTCTTCCAATAACAGTTTGAAAATCCAATAGCAGCAGCAGAAATGTTGTAGAAAATAAAAATATTAATGTATCTTAGATGAAAGACTCGGCATACACTAATTTGTATAATTTAAATTGTCTGAAATGACAGTGCATTTCAAATAGCTAAGTGTTTATGACCTTTTTAATGATGCCTCTGCAGGAAGTTGGAATTCAGTGGTTCTCTATTTTGAGTTGCATGATGATTTTGTATATTCTGTCAATCCAATGAGTGACATTGATTATAAATTACTATCTGAGAAAGATTACTTATATCTTTTATCACTTGTAAATCCAATTAGCTCATGGTTTTTGTTTTTTTGTATTTTTTACAGGCTCTAAAATGGGCAGTCCTTTCAAGTGGTAAGTCTTTTTTCTATTTAGTGAAATAGATGTTGAGGCAGTCTAGTGACAGAACCATTAACATTTATCACTTTTTTTATATATATTAATTTAAAAATTTCTTAAATGTGGCCACAAATTGCAATGATGAGAATGAATTACCGGTTGAAAAACATGAAAAAATATATGCGGCATTATTATCTTCTGAGTGTACATTAGAAACCCTAGAGATTAATGTGGCTGTGAAGTATTGAGAAATTTGTACAATTTTTCAGATCTTGTGCTGAAATCTCACTAAAGAAATCCAGTTTCATTGTCATTAAAGGTAAGTGTTTCTGCATATTCCATTTTTGTATGAAATCGAATGATGAGAAAGAATTACCGGTTGAAATGCATGAAAATAAACAAGCGGCAAACTTTATATCTGAACGTTTGATTGAGCTATGTATTTTATAGGTGTGAAAACAATTAACCTACTCTTCTAATCTTGCAGATATTTTACAGTAAAAGGGAGGGCATCAAAGCCCAAGTCTTTAGAGGAAGAGTTGGTGACATGAAACCAAATCATAGCAGTAAGTTTAGTCTTTTTATTTCTATCCCTCTTCCTCCTTCCAATGGCAGTTATAAGATGCAATAGTAGCAGCTGAAATGTAGTAGAGAAAATAATTCAAGTGACCTGAATTGTCAGAGCATTTCAAATAGCTAAGACTGTTAATGACCTTTTAATGCTGCCTCTGCAGGAAGGGGGAATTCATTGTGCTCCATTTTTAAATTAAATGATGATTTTCTATATTCTGTCAATCCAATGAGTGAAATTGATTATAAATTACTATCTGAGAATGATTATGTATATCTGTTATCATTTGTAAATCCAATTAGCTCATGTTTTTGTTCTTTTGTATTTTTTACAGGCTCTACAATGGGCAGTCTTTTCAAGTGGTAAGTCTTTTTTCTATTTAGTGAAAGATGTTGAGGCAGTCCAGTAACAGAACCATTAACCTTTTTTTTTTTTTTTTTCCCACAAAATGCAATGATGAGAATGAATTACCGGTTGAAAAACATGAAAAAATATATGCGGCATTATTATCTTCTGAGTGTACATTAGAAACCCTAGAGATTAATTTGGCTGTGAAGTATTAAGAAATTTGTACAATTTTTCAGATCTTGTGCTGAAATCTCACTAAAGAAATCCAGTTTCATTGTCATTAAAGGTAAGTGTTTCTGCATATTCCATTTTGTATGAAAATAAATTACTGGTAGGAAAACATGAAAATAATAGATGAGGCATCATCATCTGACTGTATATAAAGAAACCCTAAAGATCAATTTGGCTGAAATATTATTTAATTGTTAAGTTTCATTGCAAACAGTTTCAAAATATACCATATCTCCATCCCTCTAGCACTTTCTTCTCTTTCCCATCTTCCCGTGTTGTGAAACACGGTTTTCACCATGTTCATAATGTTATATTGTCCGAAGACCTCCCACTCACTCACTCGCTCTCATTCCCACAGGCGTGCTAAAAGAACAGTCCTGCCAGTTGTACTAAGATCCAGTTTATCTCCCAGGGGTGAGGATACTTTTTACATACCCTGAGAGACTGCATCCTAGGGCAAAGAAAACTGGGCTACACCACCTTCCTTTTGTTTTATTTGGTTTAGTAATGTTTTTACGATTATTAAAATTTCTCTTAAATTGTTATTTTTATATCCTTTATGCAAGAACTGGAGAGTAAGGAGAAATCTTTCAATGTTTTAACTTTAATATTTATTATTTAAAAGTTTTTAAAGAAGCTATCAGTGGTACACCATGTGCATGATAAATACTTCTTGGTCTTGTAAATCTCAACTATAGCAGTAAATTTGTAGATAAAATTTCCTCCGTTAGAATTGAAGGAAACCCAGTTTAAGCACTTTTTTGGGGAATTTCTATTGTTAATAGTTAATTAAGGAAATAGTTTTATTCAATTAATAAAATGTACAAATGCAAACTCTAGTACAAAGATCTGCACACTGGTAGTGAGACACCCACACTGGGTGCCTAATATCGAACTACAGACCATTTGTTCAATAATACAATAGTTCCCATTTTGTTTGGGAGAGCAATTCAAGACTCAAGGGTTTCAAGTACTTCAATTTTGATGACATATTCTTAAGATTTAACTTCTCATAAAGAAATATGCCATGAAAGATGTGGATTAGTACTTTTTATTTCTCATGAGCATATAATTCTGTAGTGGAGTCAGAATTATATTTATCCATGATAATGTAAAAAATGTTACATATTCCAATTTTCTCCTAATAAAGATTTGTTAAATCAATTAAATTACATGCGGTTTTAAAACTAGTCTGATTTTAGCATTATATACTATCTAAATAGTTTAGGTATAGACTGCAATTTTTTTGTGGATATATTGTGTAGAAAAAAATGCTGTTGAACATAAGAACAAATTGGCCACACTGCTGCAATATGCTTAATATCAATGCATTACTCCAAATACTGATTTGGTAAAATAATCCTTTTAAAGTGTTGCAATTACTGTTGCCAGGGTTATTACCCCGCTCTCCTAAAGTCACCAGAACTAGTACTAATGTATATTTTGGCGAAGATTCTTTCCATAAGCTCCCCACCCCCACCCAATCCCTTGCCCGTTGTTGTCGTGGGGGGGGGTGGGGGGGCTTAGGAGGCGGAGACGGACCCAATGATGGGGGACTTAGCCCCCGACTCAACTAATTTTGCATGGTCTTTTTCCCTTCCTACTTTTTCGTTTCTGTCCCTTCACCAATCCCTTCTGCTATCCACCTCCTCAGGTGTGAGAGCCACGCTGAAAGGATGAAAGGCCGACTTTGTGCCAGTCCTGAACGGCCTGAGGGAGCTATGGGCACGGTATTCCCTTGCTTAGGCCTAGCCCTTACCCCTCAAGGGGACCCTGAGGGGTGGACTGTTTCTCTCCCCAACATACTCCTGGCTTACCATGGCCAATAATGAAAACCTAACCCCACTATTAGGGGCAATGAGGCTTGCTCCTTCATCGATTAGCCCCAACAATTCAAATCCTCCCGATTCCCTGACCCCAGGCTCTCATTTGACCACGGCTCCGAACACTGCAACAACTACCCCCTACTCAATGCCTACTAGTACAGTAGTCGACATTCCTACTCTCCCATCATGCTCAACACCTCTACCTCCACAGCCTACTACATCAACTACCCCTTCCTCCCTTATTAATACCTTACAGCCTTATTGCCCACCTCTCCATAACACTACCTCCCTCAACACTACTCCCTCTTCGACACGCCCCCGCCCTTTTACTACCCCTATTTCTACAACAATCCTAAATACTCTATTTAGCCCAGCCAAATGGGACCGATTTTTCGTGATCCCTCCCACAGCTTCCTACTCTGACAACACCCTTCACTTCCAGCAATGTCTCCAAAAACAAGTAGGCAAAGTCTCTTTCCGTAGCCGACCCGACCGCTCCCGTCTCGTCACAGTAACATCCGAAATCCAAGCTATAGCATTAGCAAAACTATCTGATCTATATGGTAACCCTATCCTTGCAGAACCCCATCCAACCCTCAATGCTTGCACCGGAACTGTTTTTATCTCCCCAGCAAACTGCCCAATCTATGACAAAGATTGGTCAGATTGTGGAGAAGACTTATTCGCCTGTCTCACAGACTATGATGCGACATCGGTACAATGCTACTCCATTTCTCCCAGAGGTCATCGAAAGAAACCCACTAACATCGCCAAAATTACTTTCCGTAGACATGACCTCCCATTTAATGTTTACATAGGTGGAGAATCCATCCCTGTCCGTCCATACCAACCTCTTCCACGTCAGTACCAAAATTGTTGGCGTTTAGGACACCCAGTCAAACATAGCAGTTCTATAGCCAGATGCCCACTATGTGCCCAACCTGGCCATACTCGATCAAGCTGCTCTGCACAATCACGCACATGTGCCAACTGTGGCGGCCCCCATAATGTATTTTATAGGGCCTTTCCCACCTGCAAATTTGAGTCTGAGGTAGCAACTCTCAGATTCAGACTTGGACTCACACTACGTGAAGCCAGACAGGAAGCACGTCGACGAGGTTTTTCTCTTACTCCCTACTCCAGTAATATTGCTCATTCTACCACTTCCCCTACCTCCCAAGCTCCTACACCCTCTCCTAAACCTACCCCCCCTCCATCTAACTCCCCTTCTTCTACCTCCTACCTTCCCCAGTCAAATTCTTTTGCCATCCTAAATCCAGACACTCCAATCTCTACTACAGATACTCCAATTTCCACTACAACCCCTTTCCCTCCCCGCACTACCCGCAACAGACAGAA